GATTTATATGCTGCCCTTTTCCGGAGACTCAGGGCGGCTTACAGTGCCTTCATACTTTTGTATATACCTGCTTAGTAGGGCTTCCCCACCCCCCAAGCGGTGTTCTTTTTTATACGAAGTCAGCTTATTGCCCCCACAAACCGGGTCCTCATTTTACCTACCTAGAAAGGATGGAAGGCTGAGTCAACCTTGAGCCTGGTGAAATTTGAACTTGCAGTAATTGCAGGCAGCTGGTGTTACTTAACAGTGCTTTAGTCTGCTACGCTACCAAGGCTCTAAAGTTCCTTCTTTTCAATGTGTACACGGAGTAAGACATTAATAAATAAAGTGTCTGGTTAAGGAAGACTGATATATTTAAAGTAAATATAATAAAACATCTATAAATAAATAAATTAATTGTTTAAAATATTTAATCCCAAATGCTACTACTAATTTATCTAGTAGTGCTTGACTCAATGTCATTTTTAGTTTACCTTTTCTCTTTCTTGTTGCTTTAAAACAAAGAAAACACTTAAGGGGCAGTTTCTAATTAAAAGAAGTCACTATGTGACTGTAATATGGTAAATATGTATGGTAGTTTCCAAAGTAGTGTCTGAACAATGATCAGTAGTCCTTGGGGTGTGCAAGCTAATAAAATCAAGGCCTATGGTGTCTGCACCACGCAACACTAAATAATGATACCATCTAGGACACAGGTGTCAAACTCGCTGCATTATGTTACCATCATGTGACATTTCACGATGTTTTTCCCATTCACGGAGATGGCGTGGGCGTGGCCTGCGTGTGATATATCTGGCCCGTGGGCCACCAGTTTGACAGCCCTGATGTAGGAGGATCTGCCCTTCTTGGGTACTATTCAGGGTACTATTGAGGGATAAATTATAACTTTTGTGTAATGTATGATAAACATATTGATATCACCTCCATTTCTCATACATTCTTGTTATTCCATATTAAAAAAATTGTGCATAATTGACATTTAGATGATCTGGGGCAGTTTTATCTAAACTAGATTGTATGTTGCAGAGATACCATATTTTCTCAGACCTCAATGGGCAGTGTTATATGTTTTAGAAAAATTAGTATTTTGCCATCTACTATCAACTCGGGGAGCGTTATGTAACATGAGTAAGTCAAGGATACAGTTAAGGTAATAGGAAAGTCTGTTGTGTCAAATATAAAACTATATTGTGACCTTACTTCAGTTCTTCAGAGTGATGCTTTGCATGTCTCCATATCAAAGGAACACTTACCTCAGATCTTCTGGCAAAATTTCATTGAGAATCACTTTGTGTAATATGTTAGAGCACAGCCTAAAATTTCTGCTCAATCTCCCAGGGGTAATTGGTCAGTCTAGAAAAGCTATCCACATCTAGGATCAGGGGTGAAATCCAGCAGGTTCTGGAGAACCGGTAGTTGAAATTTTGAGTAGTTTGGAGAACCGGCAAATACCACCTCTGGCTGGCCCCAGAATGGGGTGGGAATGGAAAATTTGCAATATCCTTCCCCCAGGAGTGGGGAGAGAATGGGGGTTTTGCAATATCCTTCCCCTGGAATGGGTGGGAATGAAGATTTTGCAATATCCTTCCCCTGCCATGCCCACCAAGCCACGCCCACCAAGCCACACCACACCCACCAAGCCACGCCCACAGAACCAGTAGTAAAAAAAATTGGATTTCATCACTGTCTAGAGTCCTTGGATTACCAAAACGAGGACACTTCAATCTTAAGAAGGCGCACTTAGTATCTCATCTGCCCTGCCTCTCTTTAAAAAAACTCCAGACCCGAAGACTATTGGATGGTTGAGTGTAGCTAACACATTAACTTTTCACAATGTCATTGACATAGCACTGTATTGTCAGTGGTGGCTATTCATAATTGCTGCAATTTTTCACACTGCTATCCAAAATTCTATTGCTGTTATTTGACAAACCTGAAGCAGAAAAAAGCAAGCACCTGAATTCACTTTATTGGCATCTCTTCAAAGCTGTAGCTACCAGACCCATTTTACTTTGGAGTTCATTACTGGAATACATTACCACCTCACCATTGCACAAAATAACTTAAGAGTTCACCCTTTAAGTCAGCAAAAGGTTCAACTTTAGTAATATAATAGCCAATACTAGATTTTTTTAAAAATCCAGAGAGCCTTATTTATATTCTTAACAAGAAAACTCCTGCATGTTAAAATAAAGGGATTACAAATAATAGATTTAGAGGAAACAGTGGCACCATGATATCATTGGTTTTTTTAAAAAACAGAAAATGCAAGATTTCTGTTTCCTTTATAGCAATATGCATCTGAAGCGCCCATCAAGTAGAAAGCAAAACCAGCCCTTTTCTCTGTTATATGACAACAGGAATAAATTAATTAGTATCGTAAAAGCAACACTTAGGATTTTAGAAAATATTATAAACAGTATGAAGCCCCTACCCTAACAGTTTACAAAAATTCTATGCAACAGAAGTTTTTAATGATGGTAAGAAGAAAAAATATAAATAGTATAATGTGTATATATATATTCATACAATTGTTTTCGAAGTCTGTTTTAAATTCCCAGAGGTTTTTTATAGACAACATGTTTGCAAACAATTTGCATGTTATGACCATCAGAAATATAACATTGTGTTATGGATGCAATTTATGTTCTGGCTTGTTTAGTAATGTGTTGTTTTGTTTCCCATTATTTATAAAAATGAAGGAGTTTAAGAAAACATTCAAAATGCTCAGCATGCACACATAAATGAAATATTTTAATGTCAGATCATATTCATAAAAGTTACATTGTTTACATAGGGTTCATTTGTACTTACGAAAAAATGCTTTAAATGAAAAGAAATATTTTTCTTATGCTGGCAATCCTATTAAACAAATTAACATGTGCTTTGAATGTACAGCTTGACAGGAAAGAGTTCTTTTAATATTTCACAGGAAATTATGCCTTTTAATGATTACAAGGCTTTTATTCATAAAGAAATAACTGTGATAGCTGAAATTCACCAATGATTTAAATGGTGCACAGGTTAATGTTGCTGAGACTATTTTAAAAAAAAGTCTTAAGTTATTTTCTTCATTGCATAGTGAATATGTAAATTTATTAAGAATTAACATGATTCATAGTATTACATATTGATTTGCTTAAGTTTTATTCAAATAATGGATCAAATATTTTAACAGGAGTGCAGGTAGCTAGTAGCCGTTGATCAGGAATGCCTTTTTTCAATATTTAAGCAATCAAAATACATTTTAATCGAATTTAAACATTCTAAAGTTTACTTAATGTCAGGAAAAGAAATGCCAATTGAAAATTTGCTGGATCGTGCTCTTGTGACTGAGATGAATTATATTAATTGTGTGGGGGGAGAAGGAAAAGGAAATCAGAAGGATAGCAAGGAAGTAATTTTATGTTGCTGAACAGCCTCTTTTGTTTCATATGCTCCAAAAACTTTTGTGAAAGTGCAGAATGTATCTACTGCATGGATTTTGTAAAAAAAAGATTTTGTAAAAATAATAATAATTTCAGCAGTTATGTCTGGGTTTACTAAGTTTGCGTCGAGTAAAATATTTATTAATGAAACTACTGTACAGGAAACATCAAAGCGAAATGCATCATACAGAAAAAGTACACTCTAGGTGACAGATGGAAAAGTGCATGCAGGTTGCTTTAAATTTTAAGTCAGAAACAAATAATACTAATGTTGATCCCTAATATCTTAAATGAGAAACTTCTCTAAATTTACCAAAAATGCCATCGAACATATATGACTAATACACATTGGCAAGCAGTATGAATGAATTCAGGTTTTAGATCTTATTTTACAGGTATTTTTGCTTGACAAATGTGAGTTTAAATAGATTCATAAAAAAGGAAAAATCTTCTCAAATTGGACTGGGTAGTTCTGCCAGGTTGCTCTGATGTCACACACAGCCTCCAAGTGTTTAATTAGACACCATCAAATCACATATGTCGTGTTAACATTCAGGAAATGACATTGAGTCTGTCTTTAAAGAATTATTTTTGGCTCAATAAATTTTAAATGTATGGTTTATCATAACCTAATATTGTCTTTGTCTTCACTGCAGTGGATTTCCGATCAAACTTTCCCCTTCTTTTAATACTTTAGGGAATTTTCAAACGTCGGGATGTTTGGCTGTAATGCCCCAAGATTTGTTCTCCCTGAAAGAAATCATAGTGACAATTTATTAAACTACAGAGCAACCTGGCTTTTAGGGGTCTGTACTTTTAGATTGTGTTCAATAAACCTAACAACTAAATTGTGATGCATTTCACCATACTTATTTATTATTTTTTCATGCAATTACTACTTCCATTCCTATATTCTCTGGGCTTTGGGTTTTAGATTTATTTGATTGGGGTTGGAATTGGTTTTATTTTTTAATGATTTTAAAAGAAATATGCCAACCTGTTCTTAAAACACAAACAGGTGCAACCCAGTTTGTTTTTGTGATTAAGTCTCATTAAATGCAATGAAATGCACTGAATCAATATTAATTTAAGTCCCATTCCGTTTAATGAGACTTAATTTGGTTTAAATTTTTAAATTGTGCTCTCTATGACTTGAGAGGAATTCCCATTCTAAGCCATCTCAAGCTAGTTGAATTTGCGTTCAATAGGACTCAAATTAATTACAATTAACTTGTCCAACTTTTCATTGGCCTTAAGTGCAACTAGAGCTCATTGGATCAGAGCTATATTGTTAAACGCTGCAACCTAAGATTGGGTTGTAATATCAATCAGTGGAGCATTATTTTCAATTTTAAAAAATAGAAAGCTTAAATTACATCAGGTATATTGTTATTAAACAAAAACTAGAAGTAATCTTATTTTGTAATTGCTGTAAGATTCCCATTAATGTGTTAAGTACTTCACACAAATTCACACATACTGTAAAGCAACACAACACACTGCCACAGTCAGGAAAGACTCCAATTTTTAAAAAAGAAAACTGATGGTAAATAAAACTCCTTTGATTCAAAATGGTTTATTCACACAAATTTAATAGGATATATCACAATTGTTTGGTCCATAAATATTTAGGGGAAATAGTTTCTATACAATGCATTTTTCAATAAAACAAAGAAAACATGGACAACTTTGCTAGACCACTTAACTGTACTATAAACACGAAGCTCAATATATAAGATTATTGAATTTATCAACTATATCCGAAAGAGTGCACAACTGCTTTCTATGACATGTTTGTCCCCTCTACCAGGTTACACCATAAAAAGAGTTTCAGAAATAAGAGGTAAAACAGTACAAAACTAGTGAGGTGTCAAAAGGGTTTAAAACAGTTAATTTAACAAACAACACATATATATCCTGATTTTTTTTCCACAAGCTTACTCCCAAGTTATAGCATAAGGCACATTGTAGAACTGAGTTATAAGAAGTCTACTTAATAAAGTAGATCTATAGTACCATATAGTTGTTCTGTCAAAGAACAAAATTTATATGTATCAATTTTTGTACCTGTAAAAGTGTATTAATAAAGATCTCAGCCTTTCCAAGGTTGTTTGGTCTGGTTAGTGGTAAATGCCCATAAGGTAATATTAACAGGAAAAGTCCAAGATTGGCACCTCAATCCTAACTATATCAACTTGGAAGTAAATTCCACTCATGTCAATTGAACTTCCTTCCTTCTAAATGTGCTTTAGGTCAGCAGCCTTAAGCCTTCTAGAAGATCATGACCACACTGGCTAAATATATAACAACAAAGACACATTTTCTCCATTACAGTGTTAACATCTCTTCCATTGTTTTTCTTTAAAAAATAAGCTACTTTTCTGTGCTAATTTTCTAAAAACCCTGAGCAAAAGTTAGAATAATGCACTTTAATATGGGCAGTGAACTGTCAGTATGTATCCACTCATTATTGGAGATCAAGCTCCCCCACTTTCAAATAATCAATTAAAAAAAGATTTTAAATAAAATGAGAGGTTATGATTGAAAGAAAAGGGAAGAGAACAAAGAGAAGATGGATAAAATATAAAACATTGTGCAAAAGTTATTCTTAACAATCTGTCCAAAACATGATTTTGACAGTTTTTGGAAAGTCTCCCCTGTTTAATTAGTGTTTTATCATAAGAAAGGATACAAATGAACATTCACCACTGCCCAGACCATTCAGACTTTAGCTTAAATTAAAAAAAAAATGAACCACTTGCAAATGTAAACTAGGAAAGGTGTTTCCAATCAGCAATACATCCACAAGGCTTCTGAGTTTGGCAGCTTCCGAGAATTTCATTTTTCAAAAGGATTTTGTTTTTAATGTAAAGTGTTTTCTCATATTGGAAGAGAAGAGAGCTTTTGCTTGCCTTTTTTAATGAAAAAAATGGGGGCAGGGGGAGTGGTCACCATCCAACACGGAATTAAACTTGTATACAGGGCAATTCAAATAATGTCTAATCAAAAATTAATTTAATGGGGCTGATTTTCAATCACATTAAGACTACATTTTTAAACCCCACTGAATTATGCTAGAATGACCAAATGTGGCTGTGAGTCTGCTAGGGCAGTATGTCTACCTCGGTATGTGTTATTTTGTGTATTAATTATAAATTCATACACACAAATTAACTCTAGGTGAAGTTCCATGTAGCTAGCGAAGTACAATATATATATTTACTTGGAAATAAGCTCCCAGTGAGTTAAAACAGGCAGACTTACAATATGACAGAAGCACAGTATTATTCACATATTTGCTGAACTTGTCTTTTGAAGTTAATACATTAAAATGGCCAGCATTTACCCATGTTAGAAAAAATGCAAGTATGTTCAAAACATCCAAGAATAAATATATTTAAGTAATTGTTCAAACATTTTAAGAAATTATATTTTGCCTATTTCCATCTTCTTCTGAAAATGATTGAAAATCTGAACGTTTACTTTAATAATAGAAATTCATGTTTTAAAGACAAAGGTTAGTAATTTTGTAAAGATTATGTTTATTTTTCTAGACTTATAGTACTCCACCTTGTCCTATTGAAATGTAAAAGTGTTTAATATTCACATGCTGGATTTTACACTTATTAAGGGAAAAAACAATATCCAAGACAGATACTGTAACGGCTGCAATCCCCAAGCCACTCGGCTCAGAGTAAACCCTCTTGTTTAGATATAATTAATATAGAGCAGAAAGCATTACCATTTTAATAGGACAAAAATTTTAGCCTCGAACTACTGATAATATCTAGCAAAAATTATGTACTTTGAAATTCTTTTTATTTCCATGGGACAACATTGAGTAGACATTTAATTATTCCCTTTAAATCAACAGGATTGCTATCTAATTTAATCTTGGATATGTTAGTGTTTTTCTGTCAGTCCCACTGCAAACCAGATGACGCTGGAAACTATATTTGTTTGTTCAGTTGAATAGGGATTAGCCCCAAGCAAATGTTTCTAGCATCAATGTGCTTTATAAAAAAGTTTGTGTTAGATACAAATAACCAACATTCATACTGTCTGAGGCTGTTCTATTTTCCAGCACAATTTACTAGCCTGTAGGACAGAAAGTTAACGATTGACATTCATAAATGGCCTAAATTAGCTGAAAAGTTAATGTAGTCTAAATGTTATTCGTCATATGTATGTATACATAGATATTACAAATCGTGAAAAATAATATAGCTGAAACATGGAATAAGTGATAGGGTTCCTATACCACATTAAGCCATACTGTTTAATTTGGACTTAATGTGATATGTGAGGTTTGCTGCGATAGTTTGTAAATGAAGACGTTGTCACTTAACTAACTTAAACCCAATAAATTACGATTTATTCACTAAACCAAGGGTGTCAAACTCAACTTCATTGAGGGCCGCATCAGGGCTGTGTTTGACATCGGGGCGGGGGGGCTGTGGTGGGCGTGGCCATCTCAACATCACTTGTGTCAGCGCCTGTGGTGGCCCGAGCACTCTGCCAGCGAAAAAAAGCTCTGAGCTCCATTTTCAGCTACAACAACTTCCTGCAACCTCTGCCAGTGAAAATGGAACTTAGGAGGACCACTCTCCTGAGCTCCATTTTCACTGGCAGGAGGCCGTCACAGCCGAAAACAGAGCTCAGGAGCCTGTTTTTGCTGGCAGAGGCACCGTGAGCCGGTCCTTCACTGTTTCCAGGGTGGCCCTGCAGGCCAGATTTGGCCTGCAGGCCTTGAGTTTGACAGCCCTGCACTAAACAATGTTTAGCATGATACATGAAACCTGTTAATTCCTGGCTCATGCAAGCTCTTATACAGGTAGTCCTTGACTTACAACAGTTCATTTAGTGATTGTTCAAAGTTACAATGGCACTGAAAAAAATGACTTATGACCATTTTTCAAAGTTACAACCTTTATAGCATCTCCATGATCATGTGATCAAAATTCAGATGTTTGGCAGCAGGTTCATATTTATGACTTTTGCAGTGTTCCAGGGTCATGTGATCATATTTTGCGACCTCTGACAAGTAGTCAATGAGGAAGCCAGATTCACTTAACCACCAGGTTACTAACTTATCAACTGCAGTGATTCACATAACAACTGTGGCATGAAAAGTCATAAAGTGGGTCAAAACTCACTTAATAAATGTCTTACTTAACAGAAATGTGGGGCTCAATTGTGGTCATAAGTTGAGGACTACCTGTATATAATACATTTTCAGAAATAAATTGCCTTTTGTTTTAGAAGATGTTGATGGCCCTGAAAGAAAATATAATTTCACATTTAGGCTATCAGTTTTTATATATCTGAAGAGGCTTCTAAACATTATAGCATAAAGCATCATACAGAAGCCAATTGATAAATGAAGAATTCACATGTTTCTGGAGACAATGAAAGAAAGTACAAAATGTAAGTATCTGAATGCAAACTGAGGATTAAAAATCTGAAATGCAAATCATTCCTGGGCAGCCTTTCAGTATGAAATACTGACATTGATTAAATATGGTCAGAGCATGTTGGTATCTAAAAATTAACTGAGGAAACAGTCACAGACAGCTGGGCTAGGCAGACCACAAATATCTCTGACATAATTATGTTAATACTCAACCCACATGTGATTTAATTAGGTGACCTGTATATGAGCGAGACTCCTCTACAGGACATGTAGTATGCCATGTCTCAGGATGAATGCAAACATCTGTCTTAGCACACATCTATAACTGATGTGAAATAACATTATAAGAACTGACCTCAGAGCATGATAGTTTGATTCTTTAGGCTCTTCCTGCTCAGTGGTTACTTCTATATATCCCAATGTGTATATTATTCGAATTTTGTGTTCTTTACAACTTTTTTCTTCAGGCTATGCTGGTTCCTTGTAAGTGGCAGGTCAGTCATATAATTTAATGCCAAAAGCAACTACCACTAGCTTGGCATGCCAACCTAAGTCACATCATGACACGGTAGAATGCAAATTGAGTAGGTTTTGTACATAGCAAACATATCATAACGATAGCTTCCAAATTGCAGGGAACCACCATAGAATAAAGAAAGCAAGTCACAGAGATCACCTGACTTAGAACAAACATCCTTACTGTTCCAAATTTGGCAATTGGCCAAAACCTTCTTTTAAAGTTATAAGTCTAGCTTGATTTAGAAATATAGTCCACTGAACTCAAGGGTAGAGTAATGTGATATGGAAAAGGAACTCGGTTACCTCAGGTGGCAGATTTTATGATGTTAAATATTTTTAGATTTTCCGCATCAGATACCAAAAGAGCTTGATCAGCCTTGCTCAGCGGGATTTTCTTACAACTATATGTTTTTTTATGATTCAGATGCCAATCATTTGAAGAAAACAAACACTGATCTATTTATTTGGAAATACAGTTTTCTGATTAATATATCAACCATTTTGCCCCCAGTAAATTCTGGAAATAAGGAACATACAATTTTAAGAGGCACTTAAACCTTCCCTTTAATTAGGCAATGATTAAAAGAAAATCCAACAACAATTTATAGACAAGTTCATGTTGCATTATAATAGAATTCTATTACTGCAAACTCATTTGCCAAGTGGTTGTGGGTGCTACACACCAAGTTGTTTTTCCCAAATATATTGTGGTGTTGTTTTATTTTTTTTAAAAATGTTGCAAATAATGTTAATAGTAATTATAATCATATAATGGAGAAAGAAGAGGAGGAAGCAGAAGTAACGAATAAGAAGAATTTTGAAATCAAATGTTAGAAAATGTTTGTTAAGGTAGTTTGTGAGGGGCTCGCGGAATCGTGGCTGTCCATGTTAGAGGTCACTGATGATACTACAGTGATAGTGGGATTGGTCAGGTCTGTTAAAGTGGTCGCAGTGCCGGGTGGAGTGAGAGCGCCGCTGTCTGCTGAGGGCGGTGCCGGAAGTGACGTGCCATCAGCTTTATCAACACCCCCATTCTCCTGTCGCAAAAGATTCCTTCTGAATTTGGCTCTTGCGTTTTGGAACCAAACCTGCAAACCAATCCCAATTGATTTCTTTACCAACGTTATCTTTTGTTTTTGACTATCTTTTTTTTTTCCTGTCTTTTTTCCTTCTTCCTATTTCTGTTTTCATTTTTAAGGATGGTGGGCTTCTTGTTTTACCTTTCTCCTCCTTGCCCCACATGCACTGATCACACTGGCTACTATATTATCTGGGGACCTTGTCGATGATAATTCACCAAGACTATCAAATAATCCTTTTAACAACTTATGGTTGTTTTTGTTTTTCACTTGTGCCATAATATCTTAGTAAAATAAATATTCCACTAAAAACTCTTACAATCATTTAAAAACATGGAGAGTATTAAGTGCAGGATGAAAGAATTCATGCACCACTTTTCTTATGTGGTTTCTGTGTGTCCTATTTCAAAGCTGAACTAGTTATTTTGAGATCACTGGTCTCATATACAGAGTTGCACTTAAATTCCTTCCACTCATTTTTGTTGGCTTCTATGGAATTGGCCCATAAGTAATGATCTAAATCATTTATAGGTGTGATATATTATGGCCAGAACCCTGTATCTGTTAAAAATAGTATAACTTCTTCCAAAATTATTGGGGTTTTTTTTCAACTATGTTATGAAAAAGTCAGATTTGAGAGCATCACATCTTACAGAGCAATCAAAGATAACAGATTAAAGCACTTTTACATACAACACAAATCCCATGTGATGTATTAATTGCTGCACTGCACTGCTTCAGAATTCAGTAGTGAGAATTAAATCTATGAATGTTCTCTATGCAGTCCTCCAGAAAATCTTCAATGTATAAATGTTAAATCAGCTTGCTAGTGACACTATTAGGCCAAAATGTTTTCCTTCATATCATCTTAGTATTCTAATATAATGCAGTATAGCAACAAATACTCCCATAGGATTGTTGACTGTATATAATAAAACTCAGTTCAGGTTGACACAGAGGACTCTTGAGGTTACTTCTGGCTTATAAAAATGGAGAAATGCAGTAAAATAGATTATTTGCCTTAAATTCAATATCTAATTACTGTTTTAATTACAAAGGATACCAGTATATTTTACATATTTCGCATCCCAATCAGAGCAAACAAAATTGATTCTCCTTCAGTCCTGAGAGCAGTAGCTCTGGAGGGAAGCATAATTGCCCACTTAAATATACCTTCAGTACCCTTGGAGAATAAGATCTGAATATGGAAATGAATACCTATTTATCTATTGGAGGAGTCAGATAATTTAAGATAGCAGAAGGGAAATGTAAGGGAAAAGCAATTTTTAAATAGAGAGAAAGGAATGGAAGGAAGACATTTATAGCAGAGGCTTCTTACCTGCAGAACTCTCTTAGTTAGCCCAGTCTTCTGGGCTAACTGCTTGAGGTCCTTAGCATCTGGATTGTGATTAATGGCAAAGTAGGACTTCATGGTACGGAGCTGGTGATGTTTAAAAGAAGTGCGCATGCGCTTAGTCTTCTGAGATGGGGGATAAGGCTGCTGGTCTCTGTCCAGATGGTCTGCCTCATTTTCATTACAACCTGTTTGGGAAAACAACAAACAAACAACAACAAAATTGGAAAGCTGAAAATAAGTAATGTGTTCTACCTCTATGTACATGGACAAAAAAAACTCCCAAAATATAATATTAACGTATTTCCTTCCATTGCAAGATTACAACATTAATATCATGTAATGTACTATATGCATAATATGAAGAAAATGAGGCAGTACAGTCCTGGACATATTCTAGACAAGTGGAAGGACTGAATGTTTTCATGACCTTCCATTTTTAAGTTGATCCCTACTACCTATTTATTTCTAAAAATGTGAAAATAGAATATAATCTATAAGATATCCTAGTATAAAATAATAAAGTATAATGAAAAAACAAAAATGAACATAACACAGTAAGAGAAAAGTATAGGATTTTTAAAATAATAGTAACCCTGAGTCACTTGCTGTGACCCAAATGCAAGAATAAAAAGCAAACCTTTACATGTGTCATAGAAACAGTTTGAAGGAGGGGCACAACATGAAGAAGAAGAACCACGCTTTATTTTGGTGCAGGCTTTACCAGAATGAGAGACCCCAAACATGAGAAAGCAAATATTTTATAGAAATTGAGAGTTTCAAGGTGGAAAATCCTAAGGATCTGATTTACTGGCCAGTTTGGGGAAACTAGGCAGGTTCTGATCAGTGTATCTGGAATGAGATTTAGTGGTAGACAGCAGAGTTTGGGATTTATGACTATTCCTTGTCGTCGTTTCAGTGTCCCCACAGTCACATGGTCATAATTTGGATGCTTGACAACTAGCTTGTAATGACAATGGTCACAGCATCCTGTGGTCATGTGATCACTATTTGTAGCCCTCTCTACCAGCTTCCAACAAACAAAGCCAATGTGGAAACCAGCAGGAGGTCACAAATAGCAATCACAAGGCCACAGACACTGCAACCGCATGGATTTGCCTAACAACAGAACTGTCATAAGTTGGCACAGCCACATGACACTGCACTTTACAACTGCATCATTTAGCAACAGAATTGCCAATCCCAATGACAGTCCTTAAGCAAAGATTACCAATAGAGGTACAAGGCCATCCCTACTAAAGAAAAGTGTCAGCTAATGGTTCAGCTGCAACCAGCCAAATATATTATGGTCCATTAAGGCCACTTGGTTCTTTAAGTAATGGAAACAAATCTAGGAGAATATAAAAACTATTTACACTTCTGCTCCTCCAGGAAGAACAGAAGTCCATCCAAAGATGATACTTACCCAATTCCAGACACATGGCCATCAATCCACAGCATCTCATTCTGAAAAGAATTAATACAAGAGAAGGCCACCTAGCACCCTCCAGATCTTTTTGACTAAAATTCCATTGACCTCTTACTGGTGGCCATCAGAATGATGATGATGATGATGATGATGATGATGATGATGATGATGATGATGATGATGATGATATGATGATGATATGATGATGATGATGATGATGATGATGATGATGATGATGATAATAATAATAATAATAATAATAATAATAATAATAATAATAAATTTTGCCCTGATGCATTTATTTAGTATAGAATATTTTTTGACATGCAAAAGCATTAAAGGTGGTATGGATAAATATTCTTCACCAGCACAATGCTGAATTGGAAATGGTATGGTCTGGAAATCTACTGCTTCATTCAGCATTAGCTCTAAATGATAAACCAAATAATGGGATGAGTGATGATTCAGTAAAAATGCAAAAGCAGCCACATGGCTGTTTCCTTAAAACATATATTAATGCACCATCTGCTAAGGGTGCCTGCCAACTTTTACTCCTTTTACTTTATTTTTAAGACACGTTTCTCCAGGACGATAAGGAAGCCTTTCAAATTTTATTTATTGTACTTCTGACACTTTGCTCAGCCAACTCTGAGAAGATTATTAAAGCTACTGCCTATTAGCTGCTTCCTTTACCCAAATTAATAGGTGTGGATACTGTGCAGCAAAGAAAAACTTGCAAAAAAAGGAATCAACTTCTATTTTTTTTCTTCATCATCACTTTTCTTCTGTAATTGTCATCAATCTAATTTCTCCATAAAAAGGATACTTGACCCACAATTGTGCATTACTGGATAGTGCTAATACTTTCTTTTCATCTACATGTATGAAGAAAAAACAAATCTGGAGCTGCCCATGCCATCCTGAATAAAGCAATAAAACGTGTTCTTATTAGATATTTAGACTACATCTTTAATCAGTTTGGACCAAAGGCACAATGGTATGGTATCATCTTAATTTGTTTCCATAAAGCAAGGAGGAAGATCCACCTCAGAGAGTTCTATCGAATGGGAATTGCATGTCTTTTGTTCCATGCTGTATCTACCACACAAGGAGGTGGGGTATTCAACAGAGCTCTTTTCAATAACCAGACTTGGCATGAAAATTTGATTTGGGCAAGGAGCCTGATATGTGTCAGAGCTTCTCTGAACAGAACTCTAGAGGTTATGACTAGCACTTCAAATTGAGTATGGAAACTACAAGTAACCAGTGCAATGATTTCAAATTAGGTGTAAATTCACACTGGCTGTCCCATCAGTAGTCTAACTACAGTATTTTGTTCTAGCTACAGCTTCTGGGTCATCTCCAAAAGCAACCCACAGATACCACATTCCTGTAATCCAGTCTCTAGGCAAACATAAATTATCATTGCCAGAACATCCTGAATCATAATTATCTGGACCATAGCCAACAGTTATGGACCATAACTGGCCTACCAGATGAACCTGGATGAAATCCCCCTAGTCACGACTTCTATTTGCTGCTTGAGCAATAGCCACAAGTCCAGGAAGACCTTTGCATCACAGACCTCCTTCAGGAAAAGTATGATCTGATCCAGGATTATCACCAATCCCCAGGTGTTTATAATGAACAGCAGCTCCATGTGGGATAGAGCACTAGGATTTTGTTTTCTCATGTAGAAGGTATACTTTCTGCCTTCTGACTCAAGCCTGGGCCTTGTTGCTAAAGTGATAAATTCTAACTGTTAACAAGCAAATTAAGAGGTAATATATGATGAAAACACATATATATATATGCAGTTCCTGCTGGAAAAAAGGACAGAACAATGTTTGAATCCAATAATCACATATTAGGAGCCACCTTTAGCAGCAAGTGGTGGTTTCTTTTTGTTTCATGCTTCAGTAAGTATAGACGTTATATGACATAGCTCTGTGTAAACTCGCTTTCATATAGATTTATGTTCTACTGTTAGCTGTACCATTGCCACAAATCCTCAGCAGGATTAGATCATTGAGAAAAGTGTAAATTGTAGACCACTGACTCTTGGCTGTTTAGCTGTCACTAACATTGCAGCTCTAGTTGCGCAACTAAAATGAGCCAGTTACCTAAAAAAATAAGAAGCTTTCTAAAATCCTGATTCTATTATGTGGAAAGAATCCCTGTGGAGATCAATAGGACTCAGAACTATCAATACATTCCATACCAGAATACAAGGGAATTTGTTTTAACTATTAAGCATGAAATATTATATCACTTTTCAGGAATGATTTAACAAAACTACCATCATGCAGGAACAGAATAAACTTCCCAACAGGTGGCTGGAATTCTTTCACAAAGTATAGCTATTCCCATTGATGGAAAACATAGATTATATTATACACATTACATCGGTCCATGGAGATAGATTGCGGTGTGTGAGAGAGAGGGGGGAGGGAGGGAGAAGACAGCACATTTTATGATTTCATTTGCCTTCTATTAAAAGGAAAAATCAGAACTGAAATAATGTTTTCTCAACTAGTTTGTAAAAGAATATCCAACAGCTCATTAATTTCATGCTTACTGGGAATTATTGACATTGTAATACCAATTACATTTAAGAAGCTGCAAGATGAAAAAAACTGTTTTAGTTCATTAATTTTTGGAAGATGCCCATGGTTTAGGCATCAATTCATTCTGAACCTGAATCAAATGTGGTTCTTCTATACTCCGTACAGAACATCTGTTCTCAGGTAGCATTTGTGGTCTTCAAATCATTCTTGACTTCTGGCAAGTATATGGAGAAATCCATGCAGTATTCTTGGAAATCTTGCCATTGCCTTTTTCCCAAGGCTAGGAAGAGGTTACTAGCCTAAAGACATTTCTGTGGTTAAGGCAGGACCAGAACCCAGATTTCCCAACTCCCAGTTCAGTACCTTAACTTAGACCAAACTGCCCAAGTTCTCTTTTACATAATGTGTATTGTGCTGTGGTGTGATGTTCCTAATTACATGAGGAAGAATTACCAATGAAGGTCAATCAGAAAAATATATACAGGTAGTCCTCAACTTATGACCACAATTGAGACCAACATTTCTATTATTCTGTGACATTAAGTGAGTTTGGCCCCATTTTATGACCTTTCTTGCCCCAGTTGTTACATGAATCACCGCAGTTGATAAGTTAGTTACATGGTTGTTAAGTGAATCTGGTATCCCCACTGACTTTGCTTGTCAGAAGGTCGCAAAAGATGATCACATAATCTTGGGACACAGCAAACATCATAAGTATGAATCAGTTGCCAAGCATCTGAATTTTGATCACATGGTCATAGAGATTCTATAAAGGACGCAAGTGTGAAAAATGGTCAAGTCACTTTCAGTACCGTTGTAACTTAGAATGCTCACTAAATGAACTGTTGTAAGTCAAGGACCTGTAGCAACCTCTTCATTTAGTGATTCCAAACCGACCATCTATATAGTATCCTATTGACCCTATCATTAATTTGTGCATCACTTTTGCTGCTGCTGTTGAAAAGTTCTAAATTTTGATATTCCTCATAAAAAATAACTTGTATTTTTTTGGGGGGGGGGTGTATTTTTGCAAGCTGGTTTATAGAATAAAACATCTCTTCCGAGAAGGGCAAATATAAAGCAAAAAGTCTCAGAACAGGCTAATGAAACTTGATTGTCCAAAGAATATTGACATATGGAAAATAAAATGGGAAAAATTAGGTGGAAGGGAAAATGGAATAGTATATCAAAG